TAGTCCTGGTTTAGACTGGGTTTAGAACTGGTTTAGTCCCAGTTCAGTGCCTGGTTTAGTCACTGGTTCAGTCCTGTCTTAGTCCTTGTTTAGTCTTGGTTAATTTCTGGTTCAAGCCCTGGTTTAGACCTGGTTTAGACCTGGTTTAGATCAGGTTGTGTCCCTAGTTTGGTCTCTGTTCAGTCCTTGTTTATCCCTGTTTTTTAGTTGCTGGTTCAGTCCTGGTTTAGTTCTAGTTTAGTCCTGGTTTAGTCGATACTTTTAGTCTTTCTTGAGTAATATTTTTATCACAGTAACAGTATTTTATTCTAGTTTGTCTCATTTTTGCTTCTGTCTTTTGAAAAACACCAGATTTTTTCTCGATTCTTTCCTGTTTTGTCGTTAAAGTCGCACTCACCTTCAGGTTAAACGTCATTAATTAAAAACAACACGTGCTGATGAATCTTAAACGTTATCGTGAATTTACCTCACGCTGTTACCGTTAAGAGTTTTAACACGCCACGCCCGCACCAGGAACTATGTAAACAAACCCCCTCTGCTTTACTCTCAGTGGGTGGTCCTGGTCTAGTCCTGGTCTAGTCCCGGTCTAGTCCTGGTTTAGTCCTCGGCTCTCGACAAAAGTGCCCCCTCCTCCAACGACTGCCCCCACTTTAAAACAAATATACCCCCGAACGAGAGCTCCGCCGCCCTGCCCCCGTCCCCAACGTGAACACACTTTAAAGACGAGCTAAAACTGCAGGAAGTGACTTAATTATGTCGAAAAATTTTAATTAAAACGTTAAATTTACTGCGTTTGTTCGTAAAGATTCTCTGTTCCTCGTAGTTTTCTCGTCACAAACAGAGCTGGAGTCGTGTTTTGTTTCGTTCACGTGTGTTTAAAAACTCAAATGCTGCAGATTTACGCTCACTTCTACTACCAAACTGAAGAAAATAACATTAAATACTCAGTTCCACCTTGTGATGTCATCATGTGGTGATACAGGAAGTGCACCACTGTGTTTTTAAACTCCACACACCTTCACTGGAATCAGTCGGATCATTTCTGCCCTGGTTTAGTTCCTGGTTTAGTCCTGGTGTAGTCCTGATTTAGAACTGGTTTAGTCCTGGTGTAGTCCTGGTTTAGAACTGGTTTAGTCCTGGTGTAGTCCTGGTTTAGAACTGGTTTAGTCCTGGTGTAGTCCTGGTTTAGAACTGGTTTAGTCCTGGTGTAGTCCTGGTTTAGAACTGGTTTAGTCCTGGTGTAGTCCTGGTTTAGAACTGGTTTAGTCCTGTTTTAGTCCTGGTTTAGTCTCTACTGGATTAAAGGCAAAAGGAGCTGACTGACGACCGCTTCATGACATCACAAGGTGAAACAGAGCATTTTGAGCTTTGGAGATGTAGACAGACTCATAATAAAGTGAGCAGAGCTTTGGGGGCAGGAGAGCTACTTGGATATGCAAAAAAATGTGCAGAATTGTCCTTTTGGTGTCTTCAGTGTCTCAAATACAAAGTAGGAAAAAAACTGAGGCACTCAAAAAGTACTAAATAATTAAAAGCCTTTAATACCACATGGCGGATAAACTTAATAAAGTTATTCAAACATCCATCCATCTTCTTCTGCTTATCCAGAGCCGGGTCACGGGGGCATTAGTCTAAGCGGGGCTCCCAGACTTCCTTCACGTCCTCCAGCTCCTCCAGGTGTTCCCAGGCCAGCCCAGAGACAGAGTCCTCCAGTGTGTCCTGGGTCTTCCCCGGGGCCTCCTCTGGGTGGGACATGCCCAGAACATCTCCCAGGGGAGGAGTCCAGGAGGCATCAGGAACAGATGTCTGAGTCTCAGCTGCTCCTCTCGACGTGGAGGAGCAGCGGCTCTACTCCGAGCTCCTCCCGTGTGATTGAGCTCCTCACCTTGTCTCTAAGGGAGACGCCCAGACGCCTCTGGGTTATTCAATGATGAATGGACTTTAAAAACACACTGAGGTGTCCTGGATTTGTACTTGATGATGTCACAAGGTGGATGGACCAAATGTGCATTAAAGCGTCACTGTAGTTAAAGACTCTGTGCCTGAAAATACTGTATGTCTTCCCCAGTACAAATATTTTATATAAGAAGCTCTTGGGGTCAAAATAAACCCACTGGTGTCTGCCTGGTCGTCTCTGGGTTCACCGGTCGCTGCACCAGGTCAGGACGCGCCCACTGACCGGTAATTACAAGACAGAATGTTTACAAACCCAGACCTGGTGTTGTCATTAGCTCTGGTTCTCACAGAGTTTAAGTATCGGATCAGTTTTACAAACCAGGTCAGGGAGCAGTCAGGTTTAACCACAGTTTGGTCCAGTTTTGGTACTTTGAGTTTTTGAAGTGAGCCGTGACCTTGTACTTTTACTTTTACTTGAGTAACAGATTGTACAGTGTAACAGTACTCTTACTGTAGCCCTGGATTAGACCTGGTTTAGTCCTTATTTAGACCCTGTTTAGCCGTGTTCAGACATGTTTTAGTCCTGGTTTAGTCCCCGTTATTAGACCTGGTTTAGCCAAGTCTAGACCTGATTTAGTCCTTGTTTAGTTCTTGTTTAGTCTCTGATTTAGTCTTGGTTCAGGCTTTGTTTTTGTCCTAGTTTAGTCCTGGTGTAGACCAAGTTTAGTTCTAGTTTAGTCCTGATTTAGCTCTGTTTAGACCCAGTTTTTAGACCTGGTTTAGACCTGGTTTAGACCTGGTTTAGTCCTGCTTTAGTCCTGTTTTCACCCTATTTTTTTTTCATAATAAATAAATGTCTTAAATCAGATGTTACTGTCAGTTACTTTTACCTGAGTAGTATTTTTTCCCAAATACTTTTTACATAATTTATTGGTCCTTTACCTTGTACTTCTGATACTTTTTCACTTGGACACTTTAATATTTTTGTGTTTTCCAGAACGTTCTAATACAAACTTTATTTTCCCGGTTTTGACTCGAGCTCTGCCAAGTCAAAACGCCAAATTATAGGCTTGTGTCTTTCTACTACTTTTGGTTTTCTGTGTGACGTCGCCTTGGCAAATTAAAGTCTCTAATCCACATTTTTAACCATTTACTAATTTTGATTTTAAGCCAGATGCCCTTCCCTTCGACCCAACCACTTAACTTTGTCTATTCTTGAACCTGACGCAAATAATGTTTAATAACTCGTTTAATCGACATCGTGATTGGAATGACAAAAAAACAGCCAAAGTCATCACTAATTAGCCTATGTATTTAACATTTTTTAAGCCAGATGCCCTTCCTTTTGAGCCAACAAACTGTATTTATCCACGCCTGGAACTGACACAAATAATTAATTGATTTGTTGTCTTTTGTACGACAAAAAATACAAAAAAAAAAAAAAGAAAGAGATTATGTACCATCAGGTTGAGATCTGGATCAACCAAAGACACCACTGCAGACCGGGTTTAGACCGGGTTTAGACTGGGTTTATACTTTAGACCGGGTTTAGACCGGGTTTAGACCGGGTTTAGACCGGGTTTAGACCGGGTTTAGACCAAGTTTAGACCAAGTTTAGACCAAGTTTAGACCAAGTTTAGACCAAGTTAGACCAAGTTTAGACCAAGTTTAGACCGGGTCTAGACAAGGTTTAGACCGGGTTAAGACCTGGACCAACCAAAAGCAACACTACATACTGGGTTTAGACCAATGGGTTTAGACTGGGTTTAGACCGGGTTTAGACCGGGTTTACACCAGGTTTAGACCAGGTTTACACCAGGTTTAGACCGGGTTTACACCAGGTTTACACCAGGTTTAGACCAGGTTTAGACCAGGTTTAGACCGGGTTTAACCAAAAACACTACGACCAGGTTTAGACTGGGTTTAGACCGGGTTTAGACCGGGTTTAGACCGGGTTTACACCAGGTTTACACCAGGTTTAGACCGGGTTTAGACCAGGTTTACACCAGGTTTAGACCAGGTTTACACCAGGTTTACACCAGGTTTAGACCGGGTTTAGACCGGGTTTAGACCAGATTTAGACCAGGTTTAGACCAGGTTTAGACCAGGTTTAGACCAGGTTTAGACCAGGTTTAGACTGGTTAAAGATCTGGATCAACCAAAAGCACCACTGCATACTGGGTTTAGACCAGGTTTAGACCAGGTTTAGACCAGGTTTAGATTTAGACCAGGTTTAGACCAGGTTTAGACCAGGTTTAGATGAGGTTTAGCTTTTGTTTAGACCTGGTTTAGTCCCTGGATGAGATCTGGTTTAGTCCTGGTGTAGTCCCAGTTTAAACTGGGTTTAAAACTGGATTAGTCCCAGTTCAGTGCCTGTTTTAGCCCAGGGTTAATCCTGGTTTAGACCTGGTTTAGTCCCTGGTTCAGTTCCTGGTGTAGTCCTGGTTTAGATCTGGTTTAGTCCCTAGTTTGGTGTCTGTTCAGTCTCTAATCCACATTTTTAAGCCAGATGCCCTTCCTTTTGAACCAACAAACTGTATTTCTCCAAGCTTGAAATTGACACAAACAATTCATTGCTATTTCTTGCGATTTGAATGACTAAACGACAAACTCTGTCATCACTTTTCAGCCAAAGAAATCGCTATTAGTGTATATATTTAGCATTTTTAAGCCGGATGCCCTTCCTTTTGACTCAGCCACTTAAATTTATCCACGCTTGGAACTGACACAAATAATTAATTGACTTGTTATGTCTTGTACGACAAAAAAACAGACTATATTATGTACTGTCACTGCCAGAAAAACAAAAAAGACTTTTTATCGTCATGATTCGCCAAATTTTTTTTTTTTTTTAAAGCCAGATGCCCTTCCTTTTGAGCCAACCAACTGTATTTATCCACGTTTGGAACTGACACAAATAATAAACTGACTTGTTGTTATCATTGTGAGTTGAATGACTAAAGGACAGTCAGTCAACTTAGTCACTGTTGCGTATTTATTTGATGTTATAGACACTTTATTCGTCTTTTTCTTCTTGTTTATAACTTAATTGACGTCATATTTCACGTATTTATAAGTTTAAGTTCCATAAAATCGTTTCTTACGTGTGAAAACGCAGAGGAGCAGCGAGTTCCGGAGCAGCTTCCATCGGTCCATGGCTCCGTGGCTCCAGCGGCTCCTCATGACTCTTCCCCCCGCGCTGCCTTCCCCTCCCGCGGGCTGCTGATTCACCGCTCTCCCGCTGACACGAAACAATTCACGGATCTCGTCTCGGTCACCTCATCGCGCCGCGCCAACGCGTCAAAACCGTGTCCAAACGTGCGCTTTTACGCATTTGGCACCGTTACGCACTGGCTCGCCTTTCTGCCTTAGTCCACTTCTTAAAAGTCCATGTGTGGTCCCACGTGCGTGAGTCTGCGTCGGGGCGCGAGCTCTGATCCCACACCTCCACGCGCACTCAGGTTTTGTCTCGCTCGCGCTCCCCTCCCCCGGCCCGTCCTCGTGCGTCCTCCTCCCACTGTCGCTCCTCGGATTACTCCTTTGACTTTTACGCAGCGCAAAAGAGAATCAAGACTGTCAAAATAAAACACAATGAGGGCCTTTCAAAATAAAATCAATCATTCTTCACCGATTTAAACGTATTGTATTTATTTATATTAGGTTCAGATGCCCAAACAGGAGCAGGAAATAAATTTTTTCCCCTGTATTTCACCTCATATTTAACGCTCAAACTTAAATAAAAATTTCTTCTGACACAATCCAAAACAGATTTAAAGTTTTTAATGGAGACTACTACAAAATAAATGTGATTGTTACATCACGGACTAAAGTATGACTAGAGTTTTGGGTATTTTTTTAACAAAAGAGGATCCCAGGTATGGATTTCCCTCTGAAATATGGACCAGAGGTGGGACCAAGTTGTCGTTTTGCAAGTCTCAAGTAAGTCTCAAGTCTTTGACCTCAAGTCCGAGTCAAGTCCCAAGTCAAATACAGGCAAGTCTAAGTCTTAAGGCTGAAGGCTGAAGTATAGTTCTGCGTCGACTCAATGTGCACTGCCGCCGTTCAGGTGAAGATCTACTTAGTACAGTTTTAGTCCTGATTTAGTCCTGGGTGCGTTCATATTTGCACAACCGAATCAATACTGGGACTAAACCTGGACTAGACTAATTCAAGACTAGAACTTAGACTTAGAACAGAACTTAGATTTAGAACAGAACCAAACCAAGTCTACATCAGGCCTAAACTGGGCTCAAACCTAACCTGACTAAGACAGTCCAGTTAGAGTCCAGGTTTAGTGCTGTTTATGTTCTGGTTAAGTCCAGGCTAAGACCTACTTAGTCGTGTCTAGAGTCACTGGCCCATAAGTCCAAGTCAAGTCCAAGTCGTCCGCTTTGAGCTTCAAGTCATTTCTAGTCTTTAAACCAAAAAAAGTACCAAATATAGCTTAGATTTTGGCAATTTATGTGAATTTTAAACTAAATTGAACATAAAAAGTCATAGTATATTTATAGTATTTATAGAGTATGTAAGAGTTGTAGAAAATAATTTTGTTAATTTTTCCTTTTTAAATGTTTTGACAAGATCTTAGAGTGAATCATTACGCTCAGAATAGAAATAATTCAGATTTAAAAGTGCTTCTTGAGTCTTCTCAAGTCACAGGCCTCGAGTCCGAGTCAAGTAACCTCAAGACGAGAGGTGACAGAGTCTTTTCTGCCTCTCGGTCTGTAACACAATTTAAGACTAGACCGAAAACTCACCTCTTCTCCCTGGCATTTAGTACGAGTGAGTCTGGTCATCTTGGTGTTTTTTATTGTAGTTTTCATGTTACCTGTATATATGTATTTATTTATTTATTCATTTGAAAAGGGACAGTGCACATTAATCAACATCATAACAATGTAAATGTGCCCGAGTTAGTTGATAAGAGCTCATTTGCATCGGTAGTCCCCTGTTAAAAAGGCATCCTAAAAGAAAATACACTTAAAAGTTACACATCAAAAATTACACAAATGTACAATAAGATGACAAAAATACAATAAATGTATTTGTAACATTTTCTTCTATTTTGTTGACTTTTATGTGAAGCACTTTGGTCAGCTGTAGTTGTTTTAAATGTGCTAGAAATAAAAAAAAAGAATTGAAATAAACTTGAATTGAAAAAGTCCTAAGTCACTGACCTTCAAGTCCAAGTCGAGTCCCAAGTCTCAAGTCCTAAAAATAGTGACTCAAGTCTGACTCGAGTCCCACGTCTGGTATTGATGCTGCTGCTGATATTATTACAACCAGAACTACGATTATTTAGATTATTAGTCCTGCTGTTTAATAACACTATCAACAGATACTACTACTACTACTACTACTACTACTACTACTACTACTACTACTACTACTACTACTACCACTACTACAAGTCTCCAACCTGTAGCTCTCCACCTTCTTCAAGTAGCTCGCCAAGGGATTTCTGAATTACACGTATTGTCCCGAATAACTCAAATCTGATGAATTAAATGTCTATTATTATTGCAAATCCATCGTTCATAAATAAATAAAGGTTTATGTTTTATGTTTTATCTAACTTTACTAACTGTAAGTCTTGCCATGGCTCGTATGTTTACTTTATTTCCCGTGATCGCTAAATTTCGTAGCTCTCTGGCATTTTCATTTTGTAAAAAAAGGTTGGAGACCCCTGACCTAGAAGTTATCGTGGCCCTCTGGTGGACAAAAGAGGAAACTGCAGCGTACCCGGATGGTAGTAGTAGTTGGAGTAGCCAGTATTTGTAATATTGATACAGTACAGCATAGTGGTGTCATGGTAGAAGATGGTAGTATTTGCAGTAGTACCTGGCATTCACTCAAGTAGTAGTAGTAGTAGTAGTAGTAGTAGTAGTAGTAGTAGTAGGGTAGTAGTAGTAGTAGTAGTAGTACCAGTAGCAATAGTAGTAGTAGCAGTAGCAGTAACAATAGTAGTAGTAGTAGTAGTAGTAGTAGCAGTACAATAGCAGTAGTAGAAATATTTGTAGTAGTAGCAGCACCATCAGAAGTATTTGTAGTTGTAGCACTCGTAGTAGTCACAGCATCAGCAGTATTCGTAATAGTATTTGTAGCAGTAGTAGTATTCGTAGTAGTAGCAGTATTCATTGTAGTAGTACTATTTGTAGTAGTAGCGGTAGTAGTAGTAGCAGTATTCATTGTAGTAGTACTATTTGTAGTAGTAGCGGTAGTAGTAGTAGTAGCATTAGCATTAGTAGTATTTGTAGTAGTTGTAGCTGTAGTATTTGTAGCAGTAGCAGCATCAGTAATATTCATAGTATTCATAGTAGTAGCAGCATCAGTTGTATTCGTAGTAGTAGTAGTAGTAGTAGTATAAGTAATATTCATAGTATTCGTAGTAGTAGTAGTAATTGTAGTAGCAGCATGAGTAGTATTTGTAGTAGTAGCAGCATCAGTAATATTCATAGTATTCGTAGTAGTAGTAGTAATAGTATTCATAGTAGTAGCAGCATCAGTTGTAGTAGTAGTAGTAGTAGTACTAGTAGTATAAGTAATATTCATAGTATTCGTAGTAGTAGTAGTAATTGTAGTAGCAGCATCAGTAGTATTTGTAGTATTCATAGTAGTATTTGTAGTATTCGTAGTAGTATTTGTAGTATTCATAGTATTTGTAGTATTAATAGTATTTGTAGTATTCATAGTATTTGTAGTATCATAGTATATATTCATAAGTAGTATTCATAGTATTCATAGTATATTTGTAGTATTCAGTAGTATATTGTAGTATATTAGTAGTATTCGTAGTATTCATAGTATTTATTTGTAGTATTCATAGTATTTGTAGTATTCATAGTAGTATTTGTAGTATTTGTAGTATTCATAGTAGTATTTGTAGTATTCATAGTAGTATTTGCATAGTAGTTTTCATAGTAGTATTTGTAGTATTCATAGTAGTATTCATAGTATTCATAGTAGTATTTGTAGTATTCATAGTAGTATTTGTAGTATTCATAGTATTCATAGTAGTATTTGTAGTATTCATAGTAGTATTTGTAGTATTCATAGTAGTATTTGTAGTATTCATAGTAGTATTTGTAGTATTATATCATAGTATTCATAGTAGTATTTGTAGTATTCATAGTATTCATTAATAGTATTTGTAGTATTCATAGTATTTGTAGTATTTAGTAGTATTCATAGTAGTATTCATAGTATTCATAGTAGTATTTGTAGTATTCATAGTAGTATATTCATAGTATTCATAGTATTCATAGTAGTATTTGTAGTATTCATAGTAGTATTTGTAGTATTTAGTAGTATTCGTAGTATTCATAGTAGTATTTGTAGTATTCATAGTAGTATTTGTAGTATTCATAGTAGTATATTCATAGTAGTATTTGTAGTATTCATAGTAGTATTCGTAGTATTCATAGTAGTATTTGTAGTATTCATAGTAGTATTCATAGTAGTATAGTAGTATTTGTAGTATTCATAGTAGTATTGTAGTAGTATTTGTAGTATTAGTATTCATAGTAGTATTTGTAGTATTCATAGTAGTATTTGTAGTATTTGTAGTATAAATGAAGAGATTGAGACGTACTTTGCAGACAACATGTTTTATTCATGACTCTAGATCCTTATACTTAACACTGTATAAATACTTTTCTATAATAACAATAACTCTACTTCCTTCTGAACAAATAGAACCATGTTTAAAGCCACATGAGTATAGAGAATCTGTACAAAAATAAATAACGTCTGATATTCTGTACAAAACACAAACCTTCGCGGAAGGCACCACACACTTCCTCATGAAGTAGTAGCAAAAACAGTCCATTCAAAAACACGCACTCATCTTTGGTCCAACGCGCCCAAATAAGGACGAGGAAATGATATGGCGAAAGGAAAGTCACGTTTTTAACTAATTATAAGCAAAATCTTAATACATTTTGACCTTTTTTTTGAATAATACCTGGCAACTTGACCATTTGATAAGTTACTACCCAAGTTTAGTCCTGATTTACTTCTGGTTTAGTTCTTTTAGTTTAGTCCTTCTGGTTTAGTCCTGCTTTTAGTTTCTGGTTAGTTCTGGTTTAGTTCTTTTAGTCCTGGTTTAGTTCGGATTTAGTCCTTCTTTAGTCCCAGTTTAGTCCTGCTTTAGTCCTGGTTTAGTTCTGGTTTAGTTCTGGTTTAGTCCTGCTTTTAGTTCTGGTTTAATCCTGATTTGGTTCTAGTTTAGCCCTGGTTTAGTTCTGTTTAGTCCTGATTTAGTTCTAGTTTAGTCCTGGTTTAGTCCTGATTTAGTTCTAGTTTAGTCCTGGTTTAGTTTAGTTCTAGGGTTTAGTCCCTGTTTAGTCCCTGAGTTCTAGTTTAGTTCTAGTTTAGTCCTGATTTAGTTCTAGTTTAGTCCTGATTTAGTTCTAGTTTAGTCCTGGTTTAGTTCTGGTTTAGTTCCTGCTTTAGTCCCGGTTTACTCCTGATTTAGTCCTAGTTTAGTTCTGGTTTAGTCCTGATTTAGTTCTAGTTTAGTCCTGATTTAGTTCTAGTTTAGTCCTGGTTTAGTCTTCTGGTTTAGTCCTGATTTAGTTCTAGTTTAGTCCTGGTTTAGTTCTGGTTTAGTCCTGCTTTAGTCCCGGTTTACTCCTGCTTTAGTCCCAGTTTAGTTCTGGTTTAGCCCTTTAATAATTTTTTGGCTTCAAATTGTTAATCGCTATGACAACAGATGGAAATTTGTCGCTTTTTGTATTGTGAAAGTGTTTGAGTTGGTAGAAAAGAAGCCGTTTTAGTTTTCTAATGTCGTATTTTAGGTGTTTCTGTTAAAAAAAGTGTATTTCTGTATTATTTTATCACCAAAAATGTATCTAAACTGTCCAATGTCGCCTTATTTTTTAGTTAAGTAACCCTGGTTTAAATAATCCGTCTAATTTTTGTTAAAAACGTGACTTTCGAAACAACTGAAGTGCTACAAATACTGATAAATGACTGCATCTCTGACTATATAGGGTCCATACCTGATGGGGTAAATTCTTATTATTATAATTCACTTTCTCTCGATATAATCTACATAAACACGCCCCTTTAAGCAACGTCCAGCCCAGCTTGGACTCAAAAAAAAAAACTCAAAAAAATATTTAAAAACATCTCACTCATTTTGATTCACTCACACAAGCACGACATTGGCACGGTAAAGCAGCAAGCTGGTAGGAAAATATATATATCTAAAAAGGGCCGACATTACGCCGTTTTCCGATTATAATCTCGTTTTCTCGTCGCGAACAGAGCTGGAGTTGTGTTTTGTTTCGTTTAACGCACGAACTCTGCAGATTTACGCCGAGTTTTTCCCTCAAAACACAACTCCAGCTCTGTTTTCGAGGAATAAACGACATCATAACCTCAGTTTTTTCCGCGTAATATCGAACCTTTAAATTCCAAAAATGTGCCGATGCGATGCTACTGGCAGTCACTAACGCTGCAATGCCACTTTAGACCAAATAAAATAAAAATGGAAAAATGTTTGTTTAAAAAAAAATAATAAAAAAATCTCAGATGTAAACAAATTCCACTTTTACGTTTTGAGAAAGAGGCAGCGGACTCGAGGTGGTAGAAAGTCCATTTGGGGATCGGAGGAGGTGACTACGATGGCCTAAAAAGCTCAAAAAAGTGGGAAGTATCTTTGAAATTTATGAAAAAAGGCGATAATTCTTACAAAAATATTTCTTACCAACGTCTAAATTGTGTGTAGAAGATGCCGTTTGTGTTTTCTAGCACCAAAAAAAGTAGCTGTTGGTTGTTTTAGGCGACGTTCAGACTGCAGAATGAAGTGACCCAAATCTGATTTTTTCGACCTGTATCCGATCTTTTAATGAACTTTTCAAATGCGACCCAGGCCTCCGCTCGATTTAATTTCTCTCCAGCGACTAGGTCAGGAATCGGAATACACAAAAACCCCGGAATGTGCGAGTCCAATCAGCGAAGAGACATTCAAACTGTGTTGGAAACGATTCCCGAGATCGACGATTTAAAGCCGAAACAAAGAGAATGTTTGGTGAATTTTATCAAGGAGAAAGACGTTATTGTCCGTCTTCCGATGGGGTTTGGCGCCTTACATACATCACGACCAAATAGCAGCGATTGGTTAAATAAAAAATGTACCCGCCTACAGTCGAGCGAACGAATCCTAATGCTGCGAAGTCAGACGGTTTCTACGAAGTGAAACCGATCTTTTGACATGCAACTTCAGTCTGAACGGTCAGGTCGCATTCATCCCACCTACACGTCAGGATCGGAGTCTAGACGAGAGTTTACAGAGTTTATTAATATTTTCGGGGATCGCTTTATTCAGGTCAAATTGGAGGGATCTTATCGGAACTGAGCGTTTTTTTTAAAAACGATTGCCAAAGAAATCGCAAAACAGACGGTCCTGGCTCCAATGTCGACGAAAAATAAAGACCCTGTGAGCCAAGACTCAAACAAACGAAGCGGCCTCGGACGTGTAACCTGTCCTTTTTACCAAGAACTGGAAGAACTGTATTTTGGGAAGACGAGCCCAGCGTTTAGGCGACTTCCATAAACGTCCGGACTCTTTTGGGGCGTTTAAGGTTCACACTGGAGATCACAGACAAGTCGCATTTACTTCGGATTAAATCAGGATTTCACAAAAAAATCCAAATTGAGCACTTAAACCCTGCAGTCTGAACGTAACCTTAGACGTTGGTAAAAGCCCTATTTGATTCCGTTGTCAAGATATTTCCCACTTTGCGGTTTAGTTTGTCTCTCTTAGGCCACCGTAGCGGATTCGTTTCGCCTTTAGCACGGCCCCTGGTTGCAGAGTTCGAGCAAAGGCCTCGGTCTGTCCTTCGAATCGCAGCTGTCGTTGCTCATGGACCGACCGTCGTACCCGATACACTTTAGCTGTCGCTTCCTGAACCCTCGTCCGCACGTTTTGGAGCAGGAAGACCACTCGCCGAGCAGCCACGTCGGGCAGGGCGTCGCCGCGCACGACCTCACCCCCAGCGGACGCAGTTCTTGAGGACAGTCCTTCGAAGTCTTGCCTTGCGCGTCCAAGCAGACGACTTCTCTCTGCTGGCTCCCTCCGCCGCACGTTTTCGAGCAAGGCCCCCACTCCCGCAAAGTCCACTCGGCTCCTCCCACCTCCCTGATCGCGTTGATGGACTGTTTACGGTTGCTGGCGTTGCCGTTCGCCGCGTGGCTCGGCCTCGGCGCGAAGTAGCTGTACTTCACCCGTGGCCGCGGCGATTCTCCGACGGACAGAACCTGAATCGTCAGAGGTTCGGGAAGCGGGGCGAAGCTGCGGAGTCTTTCCAGGACGGCCGAGGAGCCGCTGTATCGTAGCAGCGCGCCTTTGAGAGCGATGTCGGACTCCACGGTCATGAGCTTGTAGTCGCCGTTCAGGAGGTAGGTGCCGTCTTGTTTTTTGACGGCGAGGTAACTGCTGTCCGTGCCCGGGGAGCGCTGTTTGACGTCAACGTGAGTCGCTCCGGCGGGAATCGTCACTACATCCTGGTACCCCGGTCTGGAAAATAAAAACGAAAAGTATTAAAGCTAAAGTACCGAATTTTTAAGAACAATTTTTAGGTCCATATTGTCTTCATCTAATAATTCAACATCTGCGAAAGAGTTTTTGGAAGCTTAAAAACTAGTTAGACTGATTTAAAGACCAATTATAGACCAAAAGTGATTTATGTGTGGCACTCTTCACTTTTAAAATCAATTTAAAAATCGTTGTTGAATTTAATCCACGTTTCTAGTTTACTACATTGAGCACTGGGGATGCAACGATATCCAGATCTCTCGGTACGATATTATCACGATACGCATCTCACCGTACGATATTTGTTGCGATATTTTGTCGAGGTTGATATAATTGTAGATGGGACACTTTTTTGCTTTTGAAACACCTTGACATGATTTTGGTGTGAATTATTTCCGTCATAATCCCAAGAATTTAAGTAAAAAACATATTTCTTCATGTTGTCGCGCTGAAATGAATCATGGGAGATGTAGTTCCCGATGTTTATAAGCTGTTACAACTATAAAACCATGTATTTAAGCAAAGAAACTTCTAATTCGATATATTGTGGGACTTTTGACGATACGATATCACGATATTTTGGTTATTGTTACATCCCTTTCATATTTATTTCATTTCCCCCCCTTTTTTTGCATAATAAAATTCACCAGCGACTGTTTTTAAAAATACATTTTGATTTGAAATTTTGTCCCAGAAGTAATGGTCTAAATATTTATATAAAAAAATGTAAATTATAATATGAATTTGGATTTTTTAAAATATGTTTCGGGGATGCAACGGTTTTTGATTCGTGTCTCGATATCAATGTCTCGATTTCGGTTTTAAGAAAAAAAAAAAAAATCTCAAGTAATTTTTTTTTTTTGAGTAAAATATAATAACACTATAATATAAAGAAACATTACCCTACAGTTATAGTTTATATGTGAAGTGTTTTAGGTCATTTGGATCAATGATTTACAGCTCAGAAATTTTATTCAGTGAAAATAAGTTTCTCAGTCTGTTTTATAGTTTATAATAAACCGTTCGACTCTTAATATAAACTGTGGGGGAGCTGCACTATCAGAATTTTCCTCCTTTATGATGATTGCTTTTCCTCCTGAGTCTAGGTTAATATCTTTATCATTCCCGGGTCTATCAACGTAAAATAAAAAGTGACTGAAAGACGAAACCCTCCTCTGTTAGAATATTTAAGATGTAAGTCTCCATGGAGCTGATTTTTTGTTGCATTTGAGGAGGACGGCGCGGTTAGGGTTTTCCTTTCGGACCAAAATAAATGACAACACAGAGCACACGGACGGACAAACACGTGTACGGTGTCGGGAAGGTGACTTTTAAAATGTAATCCCCTACAGATTACAGATTACATACCCCAAAATGTAGTTTGTAACGGAATCCATTAAATTACTTAAAGTGAGTAATGTAATCTGAATACTTTGGATTACTTGATTTGCTGTAGAGAAGCAAAGACCAGGATATCGTTACATAAGATGTTTTGTCTGATAAAAGAAAATTAAAAACCCAGACTTTACTGAACCAAATTAAAAATATTATTGATAGAAGAAGAGGAGACACGTCCACACAGCAGGATTAAGTCCTGTTAAATCCTGTTTGAGACATAGTTTAGACCTGGTTTTAGTCCTGGTTTTAGTCCTGGTTTAGTCCTGGTTTAGACCTGGTTTAGACCTGGTTTAGACCTGGTTTAGACCTGGTTTATTCCTGGTTTAGACCTGGTTTAGACCTGGTTTATTCCTGGTTTAGACCTGGTTTAGACCTGGTTTATTCCTGGTTTAGACCTGGTTTAGACCTGGTTTAGACCTGGTTTAGTCTTGGTTTAATCTTGGTTTAGTCCTGGTTTTAGTCCTGGTTTAGTCCTGGTTTAGTCCTGGTTTAGTCCTGGTTTAGACCTGGTTTAGACCTGGTTTAGACCTGGTTTAGACCTGGTTTAGTCTTGGTTTAATCTTGGTTTAGTCCTGGTTTAGACCTGCTTTAGTGTCCAGCAATGAGTGGAATTACCGAGAAAAAAAATGAAACAGGAAAATACCTCTCTGTAATCCATTTATTTCAACAAAGTAACTGTAATCCAATTACAATTACTCATAATTTGTACTCTGATTACGTAACTCTGGTACATGTGATCTGTTACTCCCCAAAACTGCACGAGTATGGAATCGTAAGACCAGTATCAAACAATTTGATATTATATTAAATATCATTTTCCCTAATATATTTGGATTTTTGTTCATTGAAGTTTATAGTTTAGGAGATTATTTGTAGTAGTTGTAGTTTGATATAGTAGTATTCCAAAAAATAAACCTAAAAAATTACAAAACCCTCTCATTTTAAACCTAGTACTGTATATTTGAAGTACTTTTTGTTGCAGTAAAAGTATTATATCTCGTACCTGGCTCGTTCCATGGCTCCGGAAACCTTCTTGCAGGTCGAACCGTCTCCTCCACACACTCCACATTTATCGAATCGTTTGGAGGAGCCGATGACTCTGTCGCAGCCCGCCTTTACGCACTGTCCCTGAACGCACACGGAGGTGGAGTCAGGGCTGCAGGGAGTACCGTCCGCCACCTGCAGGGGGCGACACACAGAGACAGAGAGGGTTAACTTAATGTTTTTTATGCAATATAAACATTTTAATATCAGGTGAGAGGTTGAGTATTGGTCCAACACGCCCAAATAAGGACGAGGAAATGATACGGTGAAAGAAAAGTCACGTTTTTACCAAATTATAAACTAATCCGTACTAATTTTTCACCTTTTCTTTGCGTAACAATATTTGGCAACCACTGTTTTTCGAAATGTTATTTGATAAAATAAAAAGTATAGTAGTAGTAATAAAATAAATACTACTACTAATACTGATAAGTTAAAAAGTACAATTGGGACATTTACAAGTTATTTCGAATTCTTTTGAAAACTACTACTACTACTACTACTTATTTGTGTAGTACTAATTGTTTGATACAGTCAGTGATACAAAAATGTGGTAAAAAAAAAAAAACATGTATTCCATCCACTGTCCTGTCACTGGGCGCCATTTTGAGGACTTTTCACCATTCAAAACACATCATATTTTGTGCCGAGCTTTAAAATTTAGTTTCAGTAGTAGTTTGTAGTAGCAATTGAAGTACTAATTGGCAGCAAAAGTACAAGTAGGAGCAGTAAAAATTCAGATACTAAGTACAGTTTAGTAGGAGCAGCAGTAAAATATATGAATATTTTTTAACGAAGTAGTAGTAGTTTGGAGTAGTAGCAGCAAATTAAATGATGTAGTAGTACTAGTACTTGCTATAAATAGTATTAGGTGATAGTATTTTAGAAACATAGCGACATATGACGAAGTTGCAAAAGAAAAATCTGTTCCAATCTGTAATTCTCACCTTGGACTTGAGGACGAAGAAGTATCCGGTCCCTTTGGCGCGACAGACCAGTTTGCATCGGTCTTTGGGCGAGACTCCGGCGTATTTCGGGACCCACTCGACGCCCTCCCCCGAGCCCAGAGACACCTGAGCCGACATGTCGTTATGAACCAAGCACTGCTCCTCGCGGAAAGACAGACCTGCAGAGAAAAGAGACACACGGACTTTAAAGGTTGTATAGAGGATTTTTTAAGGGAAGAGAAATACAGTGACCGTCCTTGTGCATGCATGACTCCACCCCCTCCACAGCTGCCTCAGTAGAAACACCTCCTCCCACCTCTTTACTCTAGAAATCACGTTTGTTTACAGTCAGTGTGTGTTCAGAATTACTGTTGAAGTTTCCTGTCTAGAAGTAATTTAGCGACCGACGAGTCAGTTTTTAGACCCTTCGTCTGCTTCAGTCGAGCACTCGCTGGAAGGAATCTCCAAGAATCACCTCAGTTTGTCTTCGCTCCTTTTCCACTTCTCTTCTTCTTTCAGAGACCTCAAAAACAGGACTTTCTTTTGCGGCGAACTGGTCGTGGATTCTCGACCGACATCGCGACAAACTTTGTGCGAAATGCGAGGAAGCGACAGTTAGAAAAAGCCTCTAAGAACCGCTGCATAAACCACGTGATCCCCGCACGCCGGAGAGTCAGTTACACTAGAAACGTAGGGAGTTTGAGTGACAACCTGACAGCCAATAGATAAAGAGAGAGCCTCGGCTTTCTATTGGCTGATGTTTATCTGGCCTCAACACGTCCACAGTTGATAGATTTTCATTCTTTTTTTTTTGGTCATCGCTTCTGCGTCTTTGCAATGGTATTTTAGACTTTCATTGAGAATTTGAAACAAAAAAAAAAATCCTCCATACAACCTTTAAGTTTAACGTGAACATGACAGATTTGACACACTTAATCATTATTATATTTAAATTGCGATTTTTTTAGGGTTAAAATTTTACTTCTTGGTTCTAAATCATGACGTCACTCTACGGATGAAATTATGTTCTGAAAAGAGTGGGATTCTTGGATTTGTTTAGACCCTGGTTTAGTCCTGGTTTAGCTCTAGTTTAGTCCTGATTTAGTCCCTGGTTTAGTCTTGATTTTGTCTTGGTTTAATCCTGCTTTAGTCCTGGTTTAATCCTGGTTTGGTCCTGGTTTAGTCCCTGGTTTAGTTCCTGGTGTTTAGTCCTTTAGTCCTTTAGTCCTGGTTTAGTCCTGAGTCCTGGTTTAGTCCCTGGTTTAGCCTGAGTCCTGGTTTAGTCCTTTTAGTCCTGGTTTAGTCCTGGTTTAGTCCTGGTTTAGTCCTTTTAGTCCTGGTTAGTCCCTGGTTTAGTCCTGGTTCAGTCCTGGTTTAGTCCTGGTTTAGTCCTTTTAGTTTTAGTCCTGGTTTAGTCCTGGTTTAGTCCTGGTTTAGTCCTTGTTTTAGTCCTGAGTTTAGTCCTGGTTTCCAGTCCTCCTGGTTTTAGTCCTGGTTCAGTCCTTGTTTTAGTCCTGGTTCAGTCCTGGTTTAGTCCTGGTTCAGTCCTTGTTTTAGTCCCAGTTCAGTCCTGGTTCAGTCCTTGTTTTAGTCCTGGTTTAGTCCTGGTTTAGTCCTTGGTTTAGTCCTGGTTTAGTCCTGGTTTAGTCCTGGTTTAGTCCTTGTTTTAGTCCTGGTTCAGTCCTTGTTTTAGTCCTGGTTCAGTCCTGGTTTAGTCCTGGTTCAGTCCTGGTTTAGTCCTGTTTTAGTCCTGGTTTTAGTCCTGGTTTAGTCCTGGTTCAGTCCTTGTTTTAGTCCTGGTTCAGTCCTTGTTTTAGTCCTGGTTTAGTCCCAGTTCAGTCCTTGTTTTAGTCCTTTAGTCCTGGTTTAGTCCTTGTTTTAGTCCTGGTTCAGTCCTGGTTTAGTCCTGGTTCAGTCCTTGTTTTAGTCCTGGTTCAGTCCTTGTTTTAGTCCTGGTTTAGTCCCAGTTCAGTCCTTGTTTTAGTCCTGGTTCAGTCCTGGTTTAGTCCTGGTTCAGTCCTTGTTTTAGTCCTGGTTTAGTCCTAGTTCAGTCCTTGTTTTAGTCCTGGTTCAGTCCTTGTTTTAGTCCCGGTTCAGTCCTGGTTTAGTCCTGGTTCAGTCCTTGTTTTAGTCCTGGTTTAGTCCCTGGTTTAGTCCTTGTTTTAGTCCTGGTTCAGTCCTGGTTTTAGTCCTGGTTCAGTCCTTGTTTTAGTCCTGGTTTAGTCCTTGTTTTAGTCCCAGTTCAGTCCTGGTTCAGTCCTTGTTTTAGTCCTGGTTCAGTCCTGGTTTAGTCCTGGTTCAGTCCTTGTTTTAGTCCTTGGTTTAGTCCCTGGTTCAGTCCTTGTTTTAGTCCTGGTTCAGTCCTTGTTTTAGTCCCGGTTCAGTCCTGGTTTTGTCCTGGTTCTGTCACATGTTCCTGCCTGTGGACGTGTTTCAGACGTGACCCGTGTGACCTGCGGCTGAAGTACAGTTTGTTTCTGCGGTCGGTGAATAGTTCTGAGGAGAGTCGGGATCAGAGGAAAATGTCGACGTGTGAAATGTCTCAGTGCAGCGACAGACTTCAAACACAGAACAGCCCAGCGCCATAGAAACAAAACTCAACCCTACAGAGTCCGTCTGTCCACAATTTTATATCTTACGTGTTAGTAGTAGTAGTAGTATTTGCAGTAGTAGTAGTAGTACTCTTACCGTTGGTCTCGGGGCAGGTCTCGGTGTTGCAGGATCGGTACTGGACTCGTTTTCCTTCGCAGAATCTTCCTCCGTTTTTGGGCAGAGGAGAGTCACAGCTCCTGAACGAGTACTGCACCCCCCCTCCACACGTCCGAGAGCAGTCGCCCCACGGCCCCCACACGCCCCAGCCGCCGTTTACGGGAACCTGCGGAGACACACGGGGACAAAAGGTTAGACTGCAGGACAGAAATACGCTGGTGGTGTCTGGAGAGGCAGGTTTTTCCTTTACTTAAAGGTTGTATGGAGGATTTTTTTTTTGTTTCAAATTGTCAATGAAAGTTTAAAATACCATTACAGAGACGCAGCAGCCTTGTAATTACGATGACCAAAAAAAAAAGAATGAAAATTTATCAACTGTGGACGTGTTGAGGCCAGATAAACATCAGCCAATAGAAAACGAGGCTCCCTCATTTTCTATTGGCCGTTAGATTGTCAATCAAACTCCCTACGTTTCTAGTGTAATTGACTCGTCGGGATGCAGGGATCACGTGGTTTATGCGGCGGTTCTTAGAGGCTTTTTCAAACTGTCACTTCCTCACAAAGTTTGTTGCGACGGCGGACGAGAATCCACGACCGGTTCGCCGCAAAAGAAAGTCGGTTCTTGAGGTCGCTGAAAGAAGAAGAGAAGGGGAAAAGGAGCGAAGACAAACTGAGGTGATTCTTGGAGATTCCTTCCAGCGATTGCGCGAGTGAAGCGGACGAAGGGTCTAAAAACTCGCATGGACAACATTTGTAAAAGAACTGTCGCTGTATTTCTCTTCCCTTAAAAAAATCCTCTATACAACCTTTAAAGGGATACTTCGGATTTTTTGACATAAATCTCTATGTCATCCCCGTCATCAGTGTTGTGCATCCACACTGACTTAGCGTCCGGTGAGCCGAGATACTCGCTGGTTTTGGTGCTGAGGAAAGTAGTTCGGCAAGTTGTGTGGGGACTGTTTACTAAAGCGTTTTTCTTCTCAAAGCAACATGTGTTCAAAAGAGTGACACATTTGCATCACAAAACCATCGTCGCCAAAAAAGTCAGACCTCATAATCGCTTGGCGCTATTTTCTCTCCGTACGTATCACTGCGCGCGGCCGCCAGGTGACAGGATCCATCACTTTCTTCAGTCGTTCGGCAGTGTTTACATGCGCTGATATTAAGGTGACCCCCCCTCTAAGACTTAAAAGTGTTAGAACTGTTATTTCTTCATGGAGTTTGCACCAAAACGAAGCAAAGGATCATGGTCGATGCAGTTTCCTCTGTTTTTTTTTTTAGTTATTGCTGCTCCAGAACTCTCAATTTAAGCAAAGAAACTTGTGATTTAATTTACTGTGATGGTCCACGATATTATTGAGAGACTTTTGACGATACGATATCACGATATTTTGGTTATTGTTACACCACAGTTCTTTGTGTTTTGGTCGTTTTTAAGCAGCTTTTCTGTATTTTCCCGAAACAAGTGACAATGTAAGCCTCGATTTACTGTTTTCAGGGAACAAATTGGTCAGAAATAGGGACATTTCTTGTAAAAAACTGGGACAAATCAGTGGTTTTGGATAAATCTGCTGGGAAACAGAGATGTCTGGTCACTCTGTCTAATATACAATTGTATCCTGTCTGGTGTGATTGACAGGCAGATTAACCAATCAGAGAAAAGCCAAAGTATGATTTTATGATTAGCTTCAGTCAGAGATTGAGAGAGATTCTCCTGATGTCCTCTAGGTGGCGCTGTCTGTCTGTCCTCCCCCAAGAGGAAAACAAATAGATTTTCTAATTCCATGATTCCCTCTGGACTTTATTCAGACTCTAAACACTCGAGTGTGATAAGCACAGCCGCCTGTTTACTCTGGGTTTGATCTGGGTTTGATTTGGATCAGGCTTTTGCACTTGTCGCCTCATTTACACTTCTCACCTCTGATGTCTAAACTATTCAAGTTCCTGCCCGTGTGAACTGTATGTGTGTGCGTGGCCTTTTGTGCTGCGATCTGTGACTGCAAACAGAAAACAGAACGGCCTTTGGGGATAAACACAAGATTTCTAAACTAAAGCAGGACTGGCACTAGTACTACAGTTTACTACTGCAGTTGTTTGGCGGCCTGGCTCTTGCTCACACACTGTAGTACTAGTTATAGTAGTAGTATTTGCAGTAGTAGTAGTATAAGTACCTGTTGTTTGGCGGCCTGGCTCTTGCTCACACACTGTAGTAGTAGTAGTAGTAGTATTTGTAGTAGTAGTAGTAGTATAAGTACCTGTTGTTTGGCGGCCTGGCTCTTGCTCACACACTGTAGTAGTAGTAGTAGTAGTATTTAGTAGTAGTAGTAGTATAAGTACCTGTTGTTTGGCGGCCTGGCTCTTGCTCACACACTGTAGTAGTAGTAGTAGTAGTATTTGTAGTAGTAGTAGTAGTATAAGTACCTGTTGTTTGGCGGCCTGGCTCTTGCTCACACACTGTAGTAGTAGTAGTAGTAGTATTTGTAGTAGTAGTAGTAGTATAAGTACCTGTTGTTTGGCGGCCTGGCTCTTGCTCACACACTGTAGTAGTAGTAGTAGTAGTATTTGTAGTAGTAGTAGTAGTATAAGTACCTGTTGTTTGGCGGCCTGGCTCTTGCTCACACACTGTAGTAGTAGTAGTAGTATTGTAGTAGTAGTAGTATAGTAGTACCTGTTGTTTGGCGGCCTGGCTCTTGCTCACACACTGTAGTAGTAGTAGTAGTAGTAGTATTTGTAGTAGTAGTAGTAGTATAAGTACCTGTTGTTTGGCGGCCTGGCTCTTGCTCACACACTGTAGTAGTAGTAGTATTTGTAGTAGTAGTAGTAGTATAAGTACCTGTTGTTTGGCGGCCTGGCTCTTGCTCACACACTGTAGTAGTAGTAGTAGTAGTATTTGCAGTAGTAGTAGTAGTATAAGTACCTGTTGTTTGGCGGCCTGGCTCTTGCTCACACACTGTAGTAGTAGTAGTAGTAGTATTTGTAGTAGTAGTAGTAGTATAAGTACCTGTTGTTTGGCGGCCTGGCTCTTGCTCACACACTGTAGTAGTAGTAGTAGTAGTAGTATTTGCAGTAGTAGTAGTATAAGTACCTGTTGTTTGGCGGCCTGCTCTTGCTCACACACTGTAGTAGTAGTAGTAGTACAGTAGTAGTAGTATAAGTACCTGTTGTTTGGCGGCCTGGCTCTTGCTCACACACTGTAGTAGTAGTAGTAGTAGTATTTGCAGTAGTAGTAGTATAAGTACCTGTTGTTTGGCGGCCTGGCTCTTGCTCACACACTGTAGTAGTAGTAGTAGTAGTATTTGTAGTAGTAGTAGTAGTATAAGTACCTGTTGTTTGGCGGCCTGGCTCTTGCTCACACACTGTAGTAGTAGTAGTAGTAGTATTTGCAGTAGTAGTAGTAGTATAAGTACCTGTTGTTTGGCGGCCTGGCTCTTGCTCACACACTGTATAGTAGTAGTAGTAGTAGTAGTAGTAGTAGTAGTATAAGTACCTGTGTTTGGCGGCCTGGCTCTGCTCACACACTGTAGTAGTAGTTAGTAGTATAGTAGTAGTATAAGTACCTGTTGTTTGGCGGCCTGGCTCTTGCACACACTGTAGTAGTAGTAGTAGTATTTGTAGTAGTAGTAGTAGTATAAGTACCTGTTGTTTGGCGGCCTGGCTCTTGCTCACACACTGGCCGGACACACAGAGGCTGTCCTGTCCACACGAGGTCCCGTCGGCCCAGGGGAAGTTCTTGGTCTGACAGACGAGGAGCCCGTTGGACGTGGTCACCGTGCACCACAGAGCAGAACACGTGCTGCTCAGGTCCGGACAGTGTTGGGACTCGTCTCCAAACGTCAACCTGAGGAAGACGAGAGGGTCGAAGGTTAACTCTTTCCCCCCTGGACTTTTACTAGGAACAACCCATACATATGTTACTAGGGCTAAACATAGAGCAGAACTGCATAAAAGAAAACAGACTTCCACGAATGATTAGAAATTAATTTTACACTCATGAACTTAATTGTAACACAGACATATTTGTATCTCTGGAAACCTTAGACTCTGAACTCTTCATTTATTGATGTTTAAATGTGATTCAACTCATTTATAGGTGTATAACAACTCACTGAAAATGAGAGTTTACCTGGTCAGGTGCAAAATCGAAAACAAAAAACTACATTCAGCATCTGATATCTGCATGTTCTGAGTACTATATTCATAAAAAAATAAAAAATATACTTTGTCAAAGTATTTAAACAGATTTCATATCACCAGATACAGTATATCCAAGTGTGCACCTGTTTTTACCTGTTGTACACCTGTGTGCACCCAATTAAATTTTTTCCATTTAATTTATTCAACTCATTTAACTTATTCAACTTATTTAATTTATTCAACTAATTCAGCTTATTATAATATAATAATATAATAAAACTCTTCCCCGTCAGTGTGTGTCCAGTATTTGTCGTCTTGGTTATTTTCTCGTGTGCAGAGCTCCGCATAAGCGTTTGTTCAGTAGCGATTCTGTTACATCGCATCTTGGAAAAAAAGACTGAAATATTTTAAAGGACTGGCCTGGGCAACATCCAGATTTCAGGGCAATTTTGGTTCATAATCGAGTATAAAGCACAGATAGTTTGTTCGGACATCGCAGGACTCCACACAGACGCATCAGCGGCATTCTCATCTTCGTAAGTTTCACTCTCTGAAAGTCCGTCGCTATCGCTGTTTTCCACTTTATAATCAACTTCATCATCACTTTGAAATCAATAAAAGTCACTTTCTCTAAACTTATCCATAAAATACGTCCGCTCCTCATTATTTCTAAAACTGTGCGCCGCAATCTTTCCATTGCTCGTGTCTCGTGTTGTGTTTTTTCCGGAAGCTACCATCGTCACTACTTCGATTAACTTCGGAAAAAATCGGCGAAAACATATCCTTGAATCCTATTGGTCAGTCTAGTGTGGGTTGTAGTGGCCCTGACCTATCGCAGTCTCTGTTTAAATGTGAAAAACCGAGCCATTTCTAAAGGTCGTCAAATCACGTCTTTAGTGATACAACGGAGGAGTCAAAAGTCGTCATTAAGGAAACAGGGGGGTCGTCAAATGTCGTCTTCATGGCGGAAAGAGTTAAAGGACTTATCCAGGACTAAACCAGGACTAAACCAGAACTAAACCAGGACTAAACCAGATCTAAACCAGCTGTTAAACCCTCCTGTATCGTTACCTGCACTGGTGGTCTGCGTCGTAGACCGTCCCGGGCAGGTACTGGGGCAGGACCTGGGGTTTCTGGGGTTTGTCCAGGAGGCACTGCCCGTGTCCGTTGTCGAGGAAGGAGGTGACCATGAGGGCGGAGCAGGGGGACCAGGGCTCGGTCTGGTCCAGGTTGGACAGGGTGGAGGCCATCATGTGAGATCCCCAGTGAGGCCCGTTCACCCCGGAGCAGAGCTGAGCGTCGTCGTGGGGCATGTTGAACACATGACCTGAACACACAGACACAGGGCACACAGGGTTATACAGGTACTGCAGGAGGAGTTTTTACAATAGTTGTACTTGTAGTAGTAATAGTAGTGGTTGTAGTAGCTATAGTAGTAGTAGGAATAGTTTTAGTTGTAGTAGTAGTAGTAGTAGTAGGAGTAGTAGGAGTTGTTGTTGTAGTAGTTGTTCAGTAGTAGTAGTAGTAGTAGTAGTAGTAGTAAAAGAAGGAGTAGGAGTAGTAGATGTAGTAGTAGTAGTAGAAACAGTAGTAAAAGTAGGAGGAGTAGTAGTTGCAATAATTGTAATTGTAGTAGTAATAGTAGTGGTTGTAGTAGCTATAGTAGTAGTAGGAATAGTTTTAGTTGTAGTAGTAGTAGTAGTAGTAGGAGTAGTAGGAGTTGTTGTTGTAGTAGTTGTTCAGTAGTAGTAGTAGTAGTAGTAGTAGTAAAGAAGGAGTAGGAGTAGTAGATGTAGTAGTAGTAGTAGTAGAAACAGTAGTAAAAGTAGGAGTAGGAGGAGTAGTAGTTGCAATAGTTGTAATTGTAGTAGTAATAGTAGTGGTTGTAGTAGCTATAGTAGTAGTAGGAATAGTTTTAGTTGTAGTAGTAGTAGTAGTAGTAGTAGTAGTAGTAGTAGTAGTAGTAAAGTAGGAGTAAGAGTAGTAGGAGTTGTTGTTGTAGTAGTTGTTCAGTAGTAGTAGTAGTAGTAGTAAAAGTAGGAGTAGAAGTAGTAGTAGTAGTAGTAGTAGTAGTAGTAGTAGTAAAAGTAGCAGTAGTAGTAGTAGTACAAGTAGGAGTAGTAGATGTAGTAGTAGTAGTAGAAATAGTAGTAAAAGTAGGAGTAGTAGGAGTAGAAGTAGTAGAAGTAGCAATAGTACTAATAGTAGTAGTAGTAGGAGTAGTAGCAGTAGCAGTAGGAGTAGTAGTAGTACAAGTAGTAGTAGTAGTAGTAGTAGTAGTAGTAGTAGTAGTAGTAGTAGTAGTAGTAGTAGCAGTAGTAGTAGTAGTAGTAGTAGTAGTAGTAGTAGTAGTAGTAGTAGTAGTAGTAGTAGTAGTAGTAGTAGTAGTAGTAGTAGTAGTAGTAGTAGTAGTAGTAGTAGTAAGTAGTAGTAGTAGTAGTAGTAGTAGTAGTAGTAGTAAGTAGTAGTAAGTAGTAGTAGTAGTAGTAGTAGTAGTAGTAGTAGTAGTAGTAGTAGTAGTAGTAGTAAAAGTAGAGGAGGAGTAGAAGCATTTCTTTTTTTTTTTTTCAGTAAAAGTTGTAGTTAACAGAAGTTTCTTGTCTAAACCAGATTCAAGTATCTGTTTTTTCAAGCACACAAAGTAGTAATAAATATATTATTGTACTCGTAATAGTAGCAGTACCCTTTGCAGTAGTAGTAGTAGTAGTAGTACTTCTTACCAAGCTCGTGGGCGACAGTGAAGGCCGCCTGGAGCCCGTCGTCTTCTATGATGGAGCAGCTCCGGTCCGGGTCACACACCGTGCCCACGTCCGCCATGCCCAGAGTGTCACAGGAGTGAGCCCCGCACAGGTCCTACACACACACACGGAGGGGGGGTTTATACATGAAATACACTGGAAGAAATGTCCCTCTGACGCCACTGGAGCGAAAATACTTCATGTGTCTAACTACTTTTAATGTTTTTCTGCTCTAAATACTGTATTTGTCGAGTTATAATATCGTTTCCTCGTCAAAAACAGACCTGGAGTTGTGTTTTGTTCCTTTATTATGAGTCTGTTTACATTTCCGAACCTCAAAACGCTCTGTTCCACCTCGTGATGTCACGTCGTAGTCATAGTTTAGTAGAGATTTGCAATTCCAGGTCATCCACAGTGAAGGTTTGTGGAGTTTAGAAACGCATTAGAAACATGAAACTGAACACGACTTCTCCAGGTCTGTTTGTCTCGGCGTACGGAGTCAAGATGTGGGACTTAAATTAAATTAAATCGTGATTTTAAAAGCTGCTCGAGTGTTTCTGAATTTTAAAAAATGTGCAAAGATAAAGTAATGACGGACGATGTGACGAAGGCGAAAAGACGAAAATGTTTAAAGTTCATGAAAGCGCAAGAGACTCATTGGTGACTTGGTTTGTTTTTTGGCGTGGCGATTGATTATTAAAGAAATATTAAATAAACACACAGACAGGACTGCAGGAGGAGAAGAACGAATAGGAAAATATTATACGAATACTGGAAAAAACTGATAACAGCTGTTTCCCGTTTCATCCAATTTTGACCCTTGGAGCCTGAACCAGGACTAAAACAGGACTGAACCCGGACTGAACCAGGACTGAGTGTCGGGACGGGCTCAGAGGAGCGCTTGTCCTTGTCCTGGTTTAGTCTTGGTTTAGTTTTGGTTCAGTCTTGGTTCAGTCCTGTTTTAGTCCTGGTTCAGCATTGGTTTAGACCTGTTTAAGTCTTGGTTTAGTCCTGTTTTAGTCTTGGTTTTTGTCCTGGTTTAGTTCTGGTTTAGTCCTGGTTTAGTCTTGGTTCAGTCCTGGTTTAGTCTCGGTTTAGTCCTGTTTTAGTCCTAGTTTAGTCTTGGTTTAGTCCTGTTTTAGTCTTGGTTTTTGTCCTGGTTTAGTCTAGTCTTGGTTTAGTCCTGTTTTAGTTCTGGTTTAGTCCTGGTTTTGTCTTGGTTCAGTCCTGGTTTAGTCTTGGTTTAGTCCTGTTTTAGTTCTGGTTTAGTCCTGGTTTTGTCTTGGTTCAGTCCTGGTTTAGTCTTGGTTTAGTCCTGTTTTAGTTCTGGTTTAATCCTGGTTTTGTCTTGGTTCAGTCCTGGTTTAGTCTTGGTTTAGTCCTGTTTTAGTTCTGGTTTAGTCCTGGTTTTGTCTTGGTTCAGTCCTGGTTTAGTCTTGGTTTAGTCCTGGTTTAGTCTCGGTTTAGTCCTGTTTTAGTCCTAGTTTAGTCTTGGTTTAGTCCTGTTTTAGTTCTGGTTTAATCCTGGTTTAGTCTTGATTTAGTCCTGGTTTAGCCTCCGTTTTTTCCATTATTCATTTAAACACAAAACTGAAAACTGAAAAACCGAACCGTCCGTTTTTCATTTTAGTTTTGGAGACAAATAATGAAGAAAACCGTCGTCTTTTCATTTTCTTATTTTCAGTTTTAGTTTAAAAACCATAAATGAACGAATGATACACGGGTTCATCTCGCGCGTTTCTTACCGTCCTCGTAAACAGCACGGCGGTGTCGTAGTGCTCGGGGTGGCTGTCGCGCGGCGGGTTGTGCTGACGCTGCCACTGACAGAAGTTCCTGAGGGTGAGCGCGGCGTTGGACGAGACCTGCGGGCCCTTCTCCTCCTCGTACACCACCATGAGCTTCACCACGGCCAGCGAGATGGAGTTGTGGATGCTGTGGTGCCTGTAGAGACGCGACGCCACCGCCATGATGGTCAGGAGGTACGGCTTGAGCCCGGCGCCGTGGAACTGGGCCATGGACTGATCCGCCACCAGCATGATCTCGAGGTAACGCGGCGTGGAGACGAAACGCTTGGAACGGTGGTTAGCTGTGAAGAAAAACCAGGAAATATTTGTAAAAAAAACTGCTCAAAATAACATTCGGTGACGTTTTAAACATCACCTAGAGCGTTCAGATCCAGTCAAATGAAGCTCATCGATGTTGAAAGAGAGAATTTGGAGCAAGTTCTAGATTACGACTTGGAATTTTATGATCAAAAAAGCAAAATAAAAACACTAGAACGGGTTAAAACGAATCATTTCAGCTCTGGAAATGCCGATCTTAGACTTAGACGTTTGGGCAGCAGGGGGCGCTACTGCATTCCGTTTGTTTAGAGATCAGGAGTTTGAGGTTTTAGAAGACGGGACTTTGGCGTAATGACGAATAAGGCAAAGTAGAATTAGTAGTATTAGTAAAAAAACTGTTCAAAAGAAAAAAAATATGTTCAAAATAACATTCGGTAATGTTTTAAACATCACCTAGAGTGTTCAGATCCAGTCAAATGAAGCTCATCGATTTTGAAAGAGCGAATTTGGAGCAAGTTCTAGATTACCAATTGGAATTTTATGATCAAAAAAGCAAAATAAAAACACTAGAACGGGTTAAAACGAATCACTAGGTTCATTTCAAATCTGGAATTGCTGATCTTAGACTTTTGGGCAGCAGGGGGCGCTACCGCACTCCGTTTGTTTGTTTAGAGATCAGGAGTTTGAGGTTTTAGAAGACGGGACTTTGGCGTAATGACGAAGGGTAAATATGGCAAAGCAGAAGTAGTAGTATTAGTAAAAAACTGTTCAAAAGAAAAAAAAACTGTTCAAAATAACATTCGGTAACGTTTTAAACATCACCTAGACTGTTCAGATCCAGTCAAATGAAGCTCATCGAGGCTGAAAGAGCAAATTTGGAGCCAGTTCTATATTAGGAATTGGAATTTTATTTTCAAAAAAGCAAAATAAGAACACTAGAACAGGTTAAAACGAAAACTTTAAAACCAAAACGACGCGTTTGAAAGCAGCGAAAACACACCTGGACGATTTTCGTCCAGACACGTCGTTTCTGTGTCCGTTTCTGATCCACAAAGTAACACAAAACCGCTTGAAACACTGGTGACAAGGAAGTGGAGCAGCCAATTTTGTAGTTTTCGTACTTCTACCTACAGCGTTTCCCGTTTGTCTGTGGTTTCGTGGTTTAGTCCTGGTTTAGTCCTGGTTTACTCCTGGTTTAGTCTTGGTTTAGTCTTGGTTTAGTCCTGGTTTGGTCTTGGTTTAGTCCTGGTGTACTTCTGATTTAGTTCTGGTTTGGACTTGGTTTAGTCCTGGTTTAGTCTTGGTTGAGTCCTGTTTTAGTCTTGGTTTAGTCCTGATTTAGTCCTGGTTTACTCCTGGTTTAGTCCTGTTTTAGTCTTGGTTGAGTCCTGGTTTAGTCCTGGTTTCGTCCTGGTTTAGTCCTGGTTTAGTTCTGATTTAGTCCCATTTTAGTCCTGGTTTAGTCCTGCATTGGACTTGGTTTAGTCCTGTTTTAGTCCTAGTTTAGTCCTGTTTTAGTCCCATTTTAGTCCTGGTTTAGTCCTGGTTTAGTCCCTGGTTTAGTCCTGTTTTAGCCCTGTTTTAGTTCTGGTTTAGACCTGGTTTAGTCCTGGTTTAGTCCTGGCGTACGAGTCAAAATAAAATGAAAAAATAAGCAATAAAATCTCAGGAAGACTAAACAAAACGCTGTTAACTTTTAAAAAAACTCGTGAGGTGAACCAGAGGATTTTGAGCCTTGGAGACGGTGACAGTCTGACAATAAACAACTCCAGGTCTGTTTTTGAGGAGGAAACAACTTTATAAGGAGACTAAAAGCTCCTAAAAGTCAATTTTGCATAACGTAGAACCTTTCAAACAAACATCGCGAATTCTTAAACCAAAAAAACAAAACCAGCTTTTTGAAAATCCTCCCTCCGCGCCGGTGCAGCTCGTACCAGGACTTAAGCTTTCCTCCCAGCTCTACCGGTCTGTGTCTAGCCCCAATCTCTCCTCCCTCTCCTCCTCCTCCTCCCTCCCTTCTTTCCTCCTTTCTCTCTCCTTTCTTTTTTTTGCACGGACTCACTGAAAACCGCTCCTCCTCTTAGTGTATAAACTGTCAAATTCTTCAGCTTGTGCACAGTCAGCGGATTGGCAAAAGCTGTGTTAGTGAGTTGTAGTTTTTCCTATCGCCTTTTGCTTCAACGTTTGCAGAGTTTATTGGAATTACCGCACAGATTTAAGTTTTGAGGGTAGATTTTGGTCAATTTTTAAGAGTTTTAAGATTTTAACGTAGAAATGCTGCACTCAAACTTGCAAATAAATAAGTTATATTACAGTAACGTTGGACAAAATGGTTTTAAGGATAGTTTTGATGCACATTTTGGCATTTTAAGAGTCAGTTTTGAGTCATAATGTAACTTTTTTCAACTTTATTTCAACTTTTCAATTAGTAGTAGAGACCATAATGAAGTTTGATTGATTTGAAGTAACTTTTTAGACAGAAACGTGACAGTTCTCGTGTTGTTTGGATGAAAAACAGTCATACGAAACCATTTTCTACTGTAGTTTTTTGGCCAAATATTAAATTCTGTTGCATGCGTCTTGTAAAATAAGTTACAGTTTGAGTTTTTTCCCTCTTTGGCACCTGTAGTTCTGTAGTAATTCGTCAAATATGCAACAAAAAAGTGTAAATTGTGATTAAAAACTGATTTCTTGTCATAAAACCATGCTAAATTATTGGGTTTTCTTCGTTTTTAGTAGGAATTTAAAGCTGCAATGTGTAGCTTTTCTAGTGGAGAGTAACGCCAGATGGGGAATTGGGTTATGAGTCAGATCTGTGGAGAGGCGAGCCCACTCACAATAAGCACAGTGCATGTTTTGGAAGCAATAAAAAGCAGATTAATTGAGTTTAAATCTGTACTGTGGAACTTTCAGGACAAGGTTGTAACGTTTCCATGGAGACGAGCAGGTGATGGATCAGAAAAGTTACACAGTGCAGCTTTAACTCAAGAAAAAAAAAAGTAGTCAAGTCAGAGTCCCGTACCTGTCTGTTTCACATTAGCCGCCGCCTGCTGCTTGGCTCCGGGCTCCAGGTTTTTTGGCACCCGGTCCTCGTCCTCGTTGACCCCGCACTTGGAGCCTCCCTCCTCGGCTGCACCGGCTGCCTCCCTCCCGCTGCTCGCGCGCCGCCTCACCACGTGCACGTCCTCGTCCCGCGCGCGCTCGTAGTCGGTCTCGTTGAGCGGCTGGATGAAGTACTCGAGTCCGTCGTAGTAGAATCCACCTCGGAGCCCGTGGCACAGGTTGAGGGCCGCGGCGGAGCGAGCCTCCCCGTTCACTTTGCCCGAGTAGAAGCACACCTGGCTCGGCTCTGGCGGCGTGGGCTGGACCTCCGGAGCCCCGACGATGTGGAAGACAAAACCCGGGGCGAGGAACGTGTGATCCGGCTCCAGTTTCAAGATCAACCGCTGCCCAAAAACATCCAACTTGTACACCCTCATCTCCGCTTCCTTCTCCTTCTCCTCCCCGGTCAAACCCTCCGTTTTGGGTCGAGCCGAACCGGTCTCGCCGCGCCGTGCTCCCATTCGCCGCCTCTCTGCGCAGCCGTGATTAAAGTCGCTGATAAAACGAACGAAACGTGAAAAAGCAACATTTTTCTATCACTAAATCAATTCCAAAAAAACGTGAAATATCCTTTGTAAGGTTTGTTAAAAGGATCTAATCCAGTGCAGGTAAAATAACATGTGCGTAAAACGTGCGTAAAACGTGCGTAAAATAAGTCTTCAAAAAGTAGAATCCAAGTTTCTCTTTCTAAATTCAGATGAAATTTCCTCTTGAATCTTTAACTTGTCTTGGTTTCTTGTCTTTTGCCTTAAACTCAGACCGGAGCGAGGCTTTATATCCCCCAACCCCGGGACCTCCCCCTTTTTTTCCCCCCCGAGCGCTTTGATCCAAGACTCGGACGCAAGCAGCGAGTTGGACCGGCGCCACGAAAATCTATCATCGTGGAGGAGTGGTTTTTCCTCTCCTTTACGAATACAACATTTCTGGCTACTGTCTCATCACCGAAGCACCGGGACAATCCGTTCAGAAGATGACTCATTTATTGATATTAACGTAAAATATTAGTTACGCAGGTATTTTGAAACATCCACACTTTTTTAATTAAGTTATCACGCACGTTTGGAATCAAAAATGACTAAAACTCGTTAAATTATCTGGGCAAAGTTGCACAAAAAACATGAAAAATGCAAAATATGTCACTAAAATGAGAACTCAACAACTAAAAATGCGTAAAAACGTGTCCAAAGTCAATTTTTGCTCAATCTAAATCGTGTCATCTGTTCCGTTCCACCTTAAGAAAACTTTAACCAGTAAGTTCGTTTGTTGTAATGCAGCGTCGGGCCGCTAGAGGGAGCACTAACGTAAGAAATTAATATCGTCGATTTTCAGAAATAAAAGCGGTAGTTTCACGTTTGGACAGCAGGGGGCGGTATTGCATCGCGTTTGAAATGAGGGATCGAGAGTTTAAGGTTTTAAAAGAGGGAGTCTGAGGTAATGACAAAGGGTAAATAAGGCGAAGTAAACACGGAAATACGGTGAAATAAAATGCGCTTTTTTTTTCTTTTTTTGGATGGAAATTTTAATAACATTTCCGCGCTATTTTGCGAACGTAGACTAGATTTATTTTCCTTTCGTTAAAGCTGCAGTGTGTAAGCCAATGTACGCCAAGATTTGTGTCGAGTTACAGATCGGATCGGCGGAGAGGCGATCCCGATCACATTAACAACATTTTTGACATTTTCGCAGTAAAAATACTTGTGGTTAAAAATAAATGCAAGACAATTTAGAAAGTTTAAGACCATACTGCTTTTTAATATTACATGTAATACGATAACATCTCCACGGAGACCACCAGAAAAGTTACGCAGTGCAGCTTTAACGTATTTTGACACATCGTACAACATTTTTTTCATTTGAGCATAATAACTCTTTCCTATTCATGGTTTTCAGTTCCTTTATAGACGTTTATTAAATGATGATTTGACGATTCATAAGACAGAATATCGTGTTTTGAATTGTTAATTACCATGGCAACGGCGCGCATTTTCTTATCGCCTTCAAACCCGCTGATTCTTACCGACGTGAATATTTCCTGTAGTTTTTACCATTTTTTTTTTATAGAATCATTGTAAAATTATACCACACAACTTCAAATTTTTGCTTTTTATTAAGTTTAAGGTTCTGGTGCACTTTATAGTCCCCCTCTGCATTTGACCCATACTTCAGTGTCTAAGGGTTAAAACGACATTTGACCCGTTCTTCAGTGTGTCTGGGTTAAACCTGCATGTGATCCATCCTTCACAGTCTCTGGGTTAAACCTGCATTTGAACCTGCTCTGGGTATTTTGACCCACCCTTCACTACCTATGGGTTAAATCTGCATTTGACCCATTTTTCAGTGTCTATTGGGTTAAACCAGCATTTGACCCATCCTTCTCTGTCTCTAGGTTAAAACTACATTTGACCTATCCTTTTGTGTGTCTGGGTTAAACATGTATTTGATCCATCCTTGACTGTCTCTGGGCTAAACCTGCATTTGACCCATCTTTCACAGCCTCTGAGTTAAACCTGCATTTGACCCATTCTTCAGTGTCTTTGGATTAAACCTGCATTTAACCCATTCTTGAGTGTCTAAGGGTTAAACCTGCATTTGACCCATTCTTCAGTGTCTCAGGGTTAAAACTGCATTTGTCTTATTCTTCTCTGTCTCTAGGTTAAACCTCCATTTGACCCAATATTCTGTGTCCTTGGGTTAATTCTGCATTTGACCTATTCTTCACTGTCTCTGGGTTAAACCTGCATCTGACCTATCCTTCTGGTTGTCTGGGTTAAAAGTGTATTTGACCCATTCTTCTGTTTCTTTGGGTTAATCCTGTATTTGACCCATCCTTCAGTGTCTGGATTAAACCTACATTTGACCCGTCTTTTAGTGTGTCTTTTGACCCACCCTTCACGGTCTCTGGGTTAACCCTGCACTTCACCCGATCTTCAGTGTCTCTGGGTTAAAATTACATTTGACCTATCCTTCTGTGTATCTGGGTTAAACGTGTATTTGACCCGTCTTTCAGTGTCTCTGGGTTAAATCAGCATTTGATCCATTCTTCAGTGTGTCTGGGTTTAACCTGCATTTGACCCATCTGTTCACAGTCTCTGAGGTAAAAATGCATTTGACCCATCCTTCACAACCACTGAGTTAAACCTGCATTTGAACCCGTCCTTCACGGTCTCTGGGTTAAAATTACATTTGACCTATCCTTTTGTGTGTCTGGATTAAATGTGTATTTGACCCCGTTCTTCAGTGTCTAAGGGTTAAACCTGCATTTAACCCATCCTTATGTTTGTACAAGTTAAACCTGCATTTGACCCGTTCTTCACCGTCTCTGGGTTAAACCTGAAGAAACACTCGGTCACATCTCCAGATCTTGAGCTCGTCTTGTGCACGATTTTGACCCAGTCGAAGTCGAACCAGGAACCTTCTTGATGTGTGGCTGAGTGCTTAGCCGTTCAACCCCCATGTCACTTTTAATCAATCTTATTTTCCTTGTAAATATTCTGTTTATTGGTGTAAAAATGAAATGGGAGACACATAAAAAGTTAAATATATTTATTTCTGTACATATCTTCCATGTGGATGCTAGAAAAGACACGCGTTTACAGATCACTCCACAGTCCTATAGAGCTCATATACTCTGTCTGATACAAAACTCAAATAAATAAAGTCATTTTTGTTTAATTATTATTCACACACAATAAATTACATGCTCAGTGCTGTCCCTCTGCCGCTCGGCGCCGGCCACACCGACACCGACGCCGGCGACACCGACGCCGAGAACGTGACGAATACAAGGTCCAAACTCTTGCACTTTTAGACGGAAGAAGATTAGAGGAAGAGGTACGGATGTGGACACGGGTGAGGTCTGCCGCCTAATAATGCCAAAAAATGAACTTTATGTTATGGAAGACTTTTAAAGGTCGAGACCGGGACAAGACCGAAACTTTTAAAGGCCAAGATCAAGACTTTTAAAGGCCGAAACCGAGACAAGACCAAGATTTTTAAAGATCGAGACAAGACCGAAACTTTTAAAGGTCGAGACTGAGACAAAACCGAGACTTTTAAAGGTCAAAACCGAGACTTTTAAAGGCCGAAACCGAGAAAAGACCAAGATTTTTAAAGATCGAGACAAAACTGAGACTTTTAAAGGTCGAGACTGAGACAAGACCGAGACTTTTAAAGGTCAAAACCGAGACTTTTAAAGGCCGAAACCGAGACAAGATCGAGATTTTTAAAGATCGAGACAAGACCGAGACTTTTAAAGGTCGAGACCGAGACAAGACTGAGACTTTTAAGGCCAAGACCGAGACTTTTAAAGGCCGAAACCGAGACAAGACCAAGATTTTTAAAGATCGAGACAAGACCGAGACTTTTAAAGGTCAAAACCGAGAAAAGACCAAGATTTTTAAAGATCGAGACAAGACCGAAACTTTTAAAGGTCGAGACTGAGACAAGACCGAGACTTTTAAAGGCCAAGATCAAAACTTTTAAAGGCCGAAATCGAGAAAAGACCAAGATTTTTAAAGATCGAGACAAGACCGAGACTTTTAAAGGTCGAGACCGAGACAAGACCGAGACTTTTAAAGGTCAAAACTGAGACAAGACTGAGACTTTTAAGAAGACCGAGACTTTTAAAGGTCAAAACCGAGACTTTTAAAGGCCGAAACCGAGAAAAGACCAAGATTTTTAAAGATCGAGACAAAACTGAGACTTTTAAAGGTCGAGACTGAGACAAGACCGAGACTTTTAAAGGTCAAAACCGAGACAAGATCGAGATTTTTAAAGATCGAGACAAGACCGAGACTTTTAAAGGTCGAGACCGAGACAAGACTGAGACTTTTAAGGCCAAGACCGAGACTTTTAAAGGCCGAAACCGAGAAAAGACCAAGATTTTTAAAGATCGAGACAAGACCGAGACTTTTAAAGGTCGAGACTGAGACAAGACCGAGACTTTTAAAGGTCAAAACCGAGACTTTTAAAGGCCGAAACCGAAAAAAGACCAAGATTTTTAAAGATCGAGACAAGACCGAGACTTTTAAAGGCCAAGATCAAAACTTTTAAAGGCCGAAATCGAGAAAAGACCAAGATTTTTAAAGATCGAGACAAGACCGAGACTTTTAAAGGTCGAGACCGAGACAAGACCGAGACTTTTAAAGGTCAAGACTGAGACAAGACTGAGACTTTTAAGGCCAAGACCGAGACTTTTAAAGGTCAAGACCGAGACTTTTAAAGGCCGAAACCGAGACAAGACCAAGATTTTTAAAGATCGAGACAAGACCGAGACTTTTAAAGGTCAAAACCGAGACTTTTAAAGGTCGAGACTGAGACAAGACCGAGACTTTTAAAGGTCAAAACCGAGACTTTTAAAGGCCGAAACCGAGACAAGATCAAGATTTTTAAAGATCGAGACAAGACCGAGACTTTTAAAGGTCGAGACCGAGACTTTTAAAAGCCGAAACAGAGAAAAGACCAAGATTTTTAAAGATCGAGACAAGACCCAGACTTTTAAAGGTCGAGACTGAGACAAGACCAAGTTTTTTAGGTTGAGACCGAAGCAGGTTTTTAGGTCGAGACCAAGACAGGTCGAGACCGAGAAAAAAACAAGACTTTTAATGGCCAAGACAGAGACAAGATGGAGATTTTTAAAGTTTGAGACAGAGATCAAGATTTTTAAAGTTTGAGACCAAGACAAGACTGAGATTTTAAGGCCAAGACCGAGACTTTTAAAGGTTGAGACCTAGACTT